TGTCTGATTTTTTCACAGGTTATCTGTCTCATGTACTACTGTCAGGATATAGTGAAAGTTTCAGCAAATATGACAAAAAGTTACTCTTATAAAAGTTACTTACTGCAGCTTTTTTAATTTCAGGCTGAAGAGCATGTGGCAGCCAGTGTTCCGCTGTAAGCTGAGTAAGCCGAGCAAACCCCTGACTATGGTAGTTCCCAGGTAAGATACACACACGCTAATTTTTTGCATAATGAATGTGTTTACTTCTGACTTTTTGTACCTATTTAGGCCCCTAACTCAAGGGTATCCCAACATGTCGTAGATGGGAATAAAAGGATCAGAGACAATGTAAAAACAAATGTTGGGGCGCTACACTACTGTGACACACACACTGCTACAAAAAAACTGTTTATCAATTGAATGAATGCAATTAATTTTGCAATTTATGATTGAATCATTTTCATGGTATTTTATTTTTTGTTATGCATCACTTTTAATTATCAAAATAATTTGAAAACAAAAGCCTGGGGGGCTGCCAGCATTTACTTCGGGACAGTGGAGAAAAAGTTAGGTACAAGCCCTGTTGTTGATAATATAGCTATACTTTTTTCCATTGTTATATTGCTAATTTAGTTTAAGATCAACATTTTACTTCCACCAGTAAATATTTCCTTGATCTCTGTATATTTGCAACCTGTGTGCAACAACCTAATGTGCATCTGCTAGTAAGAGTTCACTGAATAAAGGATTAGATTTTCTGATCTGAAGCATGTTATCTACAACTGGTTTTGTAGTCTTGACAGATAAATTATAGCTGTTGTTAGTTTAAACAATATGTTTTGAAAGAGTAATATACAAGGGAGGACTGGTCCAAAGTAAGCTGCATGGACCAGAAGAGACAGACACGGCAGATGCAGGGACTCAATGTCAAAAAGAAAACCCGGAAACACAGCATCTGAATGGGGAGATGGAGATGAGGGAAGAGACAAATATGCACCATCAGCCCTGACACGTTTCTGATCATACATGTCATATTCTGTCATTAAAATTACTGAACTCACGTGTTTCTCATCATCCATATTGTTCAACTACAGCTACTATAAGAGCACCTTTGGGAGACAAAGTGGTGCAGGCAGTTATTTAGTTGTGTGTATTCGACATCATGATCACAGCGCGTGAAGCTTTGCCATCACATTGACAGAGATAATAACTTGTGTTGGGCTGATGGACTACTCTCCAAATAGTTTACCCACTTCTGATCACACAGCGACGCTCGCCGACACGCCGGCTCGCCCTCCTGATTCTCGCTCTGTCAGAAATGAAGAAATTAAAAACATGAAACAGGCCGTTGCTCTGTGACAATCCTTTTTTTTTAGTTTGAATACATTTTATTTTTACTATAAGTACAGTTCAGTAGTTACAAAACGAAGCATCTGCCATGAGGGTACAGCGAAACATAAAGAGTGTTCAGCTCACAAGACAGGTTTTGTACATAATATGTGGAGTGGAATGCTCATTATAGCTGGTTCAGAGATGGAGAGAGCCCAAGCGAAACTCCCGCCATTAATCTCTCATCTTTGCACCCCTGGAAAACAGAGATAGGGTCAGAGGTCAAAGCCATTGGTCAGTGCCTCCGGCAGGATACGTCTGATTGGTTTACTCAGACCCCATTTCCAGAATTCCTCCCTTCAGACACCCTGTTATATTTCCCTACAACCATTACTTCTCACTTTTCATGTCTCACTCTTGTTATTTTACTTTTGAATCCCCTCTTTTCCTGGCATATTGAAATTGAAAGAATGGTTAATTGTAATCTACATAAATCAAATTAAAATGGGGGGAAACAAAAATCAGAGGCTGTACTGCGGCAAAATCTCCTCAAGTTGGAATTTGAGCATTGGAAAACACTCAGGCTGAAGCAGTGACAGGCCTACGCTGCAGGTCAAAGGGGGCATTAGCATACAAAAGAAATCTGGGTAACAATTTGTCAAAGCCACATACAGTATAGAGGTTGATCGAACTGAAATAAAGAAGTATTATATTTGAACTGTACATACCGCATTAGAATTTTTCTCTGGGTTCACAAAAAATGACGTAGAAACATTTCACAATGCCAAGGGACACACAGACACACACCTTCAGTTTAGTTAGTTAGCTAGTTTTGTACTGTATAGGTTGGATTTATAATACTATCACAGTGCAAAATACTTCTGAGAACCAAAACAAATGAAAGAAATAAGAAAGGATAAAGTCCCTCTATGCATAATGGATTCTGTATATATGGGGGCAAATATGTTTTCAGCACAGGAGACGATTGTCATCTTTTTCCTCTTTTTTTTTTGATCAGTAAATGGAGAAGGCATTAATGTACAGTACATATAAAAATCCAAAATAAAATCAACCCTACGTCCTACGGTCTAGCACAGCTACATAGCTTTGTAGAAGCAATAACAGATGACTTGTATCTAAGGCTATACACAATATGTCTTTTTTCCAGTTTTTTGTTCTTTTTTTTTCTCATCTTAAAGTAAATACATCAAACCATTTTCAGTAGTCAGTAACACTGTGCAACAATGATCAGTGGCAGTATTTCAGAAACATCTGCAACACTAGAAGTCCTTGAGGTTGACATGAGCGATGAAGAGAAACGAGTGGAGGGCGATAAAGAAAGAAACTGTCCCCCCCCCTTTTTTGTTTTTGAAATCTGTTTTTTTAAATTCTTCTTTGTCAAACTCTAGAAGAATGCCTACCTTTCCGTGGCCGTGTAAACTACTGTCTTTGCTTCTCCTCGTCGCAAACGCTTTAAAACTTTAGTTTTCACTGTTTTTTTAACTACTGTATATCTCTTTATGTACATTAAGCGTCTATGGGCTCCATGTTGAATGATACAGAAGAAGAAAAAAAGACAAAGGGAGCCATATAGCAGGATGAAGGCCTGTACCGGCCTGGTTATGGAGGGGGGATATAGTATTATAAGTACATTTAGGGCAGTTTGATTATTCGGCCTCCTTCACAATCATCATTAGCACCACCATCATCGAGAGTCAACTGTTTTTCTACCAGCGATACCACATTATTTCTGGAAACCAACTTGTGTTGCAGATTGTCATATGGTGCCCTGTCCTTTATCAACCATAATCAGTGTGATGCATGGTCATGGGACATAAATAGTGAGTCTATGACAGCTGATAGGAGAGCCAGAAGTGGCTGTTGTGACAGGTAGTGTGCTTGGTCTCTGTCAACAGTCCGGTAAAGTTGAGTTTCTATTCTACAGTAGAATACATTCCAGGTACAATACAATGGTGGTCCGTGGACGTGGAAATAACTGTCTTCTTCATTTAACAGGAGAGAAAAAGTCTTTTTGAAAGCATTTGATTAAGTACTACACTTCAGTCCTAATTTAAAAAAAGACACACCTTTCTAGCTCAAGGAATGTATCAGAGATTGCGGTGCCAGTTACAGGAAGTGCTAATCAGACAGGTAGTTTCATCAAAAGAAAACCAAAAACAAAATAAACATTGTATAAGAGAAAAGACAACGAAGACAAGGGGCATTCAGACCACAGGAGACAACACAGGAAAGTTGCCGTCACTTTGTTTAGCGTCCAAGGACGCTTGCAAAAGTCATTAGGTCCATCTCGCAAAATCCGTCCCCAAAGGAAAACTGTCCCGAACTTTCCTTCATATAGTTCTCGCCTTCTCTTGACTCTGACGGTAGTATGTGTTTTTTTTTCATCTTAAATAAAGTCTTTGTTATAGTGTATTCCTTCATTTATCCTTCATCCTCCTCCTCCTCATCATCATCATCATCATCGCCTTCACCATCATCCTCATCATCCTGCCTTGCTCCAGGGGGCCGTTAGTCTTTGTTTACAGCGTGGGCGTCCAGCCCCTCGGGGTCGCCTAGGTTATGGTTGTTAGGGTGGTTAAGGTCGTTGTTAAGATGGTTGGGGTCGTGGGTCAGCGCGGGGTCATGGGTCATGGGCTGGTCCTCCTCTCCTACCCAGAGATGCACTACGGCCAATGAGAGAACAAGAGGCAGATTAGCACCACGGACCCAACACACAGACCCCACCCTGCAGCACACACACACACACACACACACACACACACACCACAGCCACACACACACAGGACCACCTTGGCATCAGTTGCCGTCATAGTGTCGCCAAAAATGGATGGATTTGAAGACTGTCAGGCTTTCCACCAATGGGGGCCTATTGTGTCAGAGCTTAAAAGGGTCCATTTCACTCAAAATTATGAGAGAAGAAATGTATTTTTCCACTTTACCTGGCACTTAATCTGAAAAATAGTTTTGAGTTTTAATGTGCCAGGGTTCTGGGCTTCTTGAAGGTTGAATATAATTTTTGTTTGTGGTGCTCACAGCTAAAAACAAAACAAAATTATAGATTATAAGATTATAGACTAGATTATCCAAAGACCTAACCATAAACAGTTTTCATAGGGACTGTTTCTTTGGTATAAAGTGGTCCCAGTCAAAACTACCCAAAGTCTTTGGATTATCCCGATTTACAGGGACACTGTTTTTGTTTTTAAAGACAAGTTTCCCACAAACCAAATTAATTAAACGTCCTTTGTATTGCTATGGTGGCTGAAATATCAAAGATGGATAACTCTAATCCTGGACAAATGAAACCAAAAGTATCAGCATGGCTAGGCACTGCTAGAGATAGGCGAGAAATTGTTAATTTCAGTGAGCTGACCCTTTAAAATGTTCGAGCTCTATCAATTATTACGAAAAAACTGAAAAAAATAGGACTAGCAACAGAAAAACCTTTTGCTTTTACAGAGTTTTACTGTCATCTGTTGTGTTGTTAATGAATATACTGATGTTAGTATCCAAACATACAGGAGAAAATAACAGGAACACCTTCAAATGAAATACATTCATATACAATAATTCCCACAATTCTCATGTCCATAAATTCACGTCTTGTGTAACCTTCTTATTGCAGAATTATTTTGGTTTGCATTGCATTCTAGGGGTTTCCTGTTATTCAATCCACCCTGTCTACTATTTATGCTAGGGCTGGGTATTGGCTAGAATCTGGCAATACGATATGTATCACAATACTGGGTTATGATTCAATATATTGCAATACTGTGATATATTGCCTGTTTAAAAAATAATATTTTAGGGAATTGCCACGAATCTTTGCATGTAAACTATTAATTAAAAATCAATACTGTGTTTTTGAG